GGCTGACCATTTCCTACTACTCACCTCTACAGCTGAAAGTATCCTTCTGTGGCAACTTTTTATCACACTAAAAAAGTTATTCTTGAAGTCATACACATCTTAAATAAAGATTTCCATCTGATTATTGAAGCAATCTTACTATCAAAATGGGCTGCAATAAATTAGTATTTTTTATCAGTGTCTCAAACTTCCACTGTCACAACTACTTCTACATCTTACCAAAGATACTTCGCATTACTACTTACCCAAGGAATGCAAGCAACTGCCCTGCCACCACAACTCTCCCACTTATCTTTGACAGTTTTGGTAACAGAAGGTAATTCTAACTTTTGAGCATTCTCTAGCAGTTGACTTCTGCAAAAGTTTAAACAATAAACTTCTATGAGTTAGTAATTCTGTCATTACATATATACACACACACAAAGCTAATTCTACTATTTGAAAAAAATTCTGTTCAGAATTGTATACACACACACACAAAAATCAATTAAGTTGCATAATGCGATCTCAGTAACTTGCTCCCTTAGTTGGAAAAGTAGCAACTGCATTAATTGCAGTCACAGAATCCTAAGGAAACCTAAAAAAGGTCATCAACAGCAGCTGACCCACCAGAATCTGCAGACCGTATTGATAATCAGTGGGTGAAGAGAACACTCATTACGGCAAAAAAGCTAGGAGAGATCTCTGCATCAGTTTAGGGTAGTTCCGACACCAGAATTTTTACTTCTTAAGGGCATGACCTGGAACTTCTCCTTAAGGGAGAGTTTGTTTTTCAAGGGAGCTTCTTTATGGTTACCACTGAATGAAATCTAATTTCCATAGCAGGCAAATTGATAGAAACTATCATAAAGAAAGAATTAACAGATACGAACAAGCATAATATGGGGGAAGAGTTAACAAGGCTTTCATAGAGAAAAGCTATGTCTTACAAATCTACAACTGCTTCTGAGGAGTCTAATTTGATGGATACAGAATATCCCGATGCTAGCCTTCCCTGAAACTTCTGACAAGATCCCTGAAAGACTCTTAAAAAACACCAACCCTAACCACCAGAGGTAACAGGAAGCTACTATTGATCGGCAGCTAGCAAAAAAGTTGGCAGCATCTCAAACCTTTGCTGCTACTGATGCAAAATTCTCAGATAAGAAAAAACCTAAAATGTACTGAAGAGAATTATATGAAAGATCTACAGTAGTAACTGGCTGACCAACAAAATACACAATAAAGAATGGAAAAACACATCCATAGGTAAACAGAAAAAGTAATGCTCTTCTTTGTACTGCCAAGTCCTCAGCGCATGTGCTGGGTATTACCCCATTTGTAAGTCCTTCCATTCTTGGTTAACTGTTGTTGCCTCATTCCGAAGAGCACATATATATTGTTTCCCCAGAGCCCATAAACTGTTAGAAATTGTGTAGAAATCTCGCACAGAAGAAGTGGAAATGAAAGTGCAGGACTCAGTTGATCTCAGAGCATGAAGGTTACGACAAAGAGCCCCCCCTTCACCCTCCCCCTACAACAATCCTGCTTTAGCTATTTCTGCCTGTCTGTCTGTCTCTCCCTTCTTCTTTCCACCACTCCGGGAAAGCGGGCAGCTCCCATGTTTTCCCACTCCCAGCCTGGAGAAGCGTTGAGGAAACTGATTTTATTCTTTCAACAGCTGAGATTACGGACTGTAAGTGACCCAGTCTCTTACGGTGTGAAAACCGTATTTTAATACTTCTGACTTGTCATGAATCAATACATTACTAGCAAATTGTTCTTGCAACCAAGCTGTTGCAAGTCACAAAGCTAATGTAAAAAGATTTGGAGAGGAGACAGAGGGGCTTACAATACAATGAGAGCCGAAGCGGAAAGACCCACGCAACCTCCTGAACACAGCAAGTGAAATTGATACCAGCTACTTAACACGGAAATGTTTAGAGGAACTCTGACAAGATTCGGAAGAGTATGGAAAATATAAAATACAACACAACATAAAACACAAAACCCCTGCAAATCCCCCAAGTCCTCTTCAGACCATTTCAGCGAAACGCCACAAATGATGTGCTCCATCACATTTCCGCGCAGGAGCTGAAAGTGCCTGGACGTTTCTGAATCAGCAAGTCTAGCATGAAGGTATTTTTTTCAGGGGTCAATTTTCCCATTGATGCAAGGAGGATTTACACATGCAAGTCCCATTAACATTAATAGGAGTTACCTACATAAATCCCCCTACAATGATAGGAGAAAAGACCCCATGGTCTGCAAGGCTCTAAGTTCTAATGATTACCTGTCAAATGGCCCTAAGCGTCATCATCACCAGAAAAAGCAGACGTAGCAGCTTCATGGCTGAAAATACTTCCAAAGGAACAGTAACTAATTGCAGTCATACAGATAAGGCAATACAACAGCAGAAGGGAAAATGGCAATTGAATGTTTGAATATTAAGAGTTAATCCAATTAACCAAGTTAAAAAGAAAGTACTCATTAAAAAAGGAATTCAAACATATCAAAGCACTCCTCAGAAAAAAAGGTGTGAATATTGTATGAGCTCCAAGGTGCTTGAAGGATAATACAGCTACTTGTTTAAAAATTCAATTAACCTTATCTTTCTTTAACTTGATTTATTAATAATCCTACAGATAAATTGCCAGTTTTTAAAAAGTCATGTTATCTTTTGAATACATCCTGTATGACAAGCCTTTAAAACTACTTCAGATAAGCCTAACCCTCACTTTGTATGCTTAAATCATTTAAAGCAAGAACAAAATGCAGTTCAGCGCACGATTTCTGTAAAATACAAAGATCAACAGACTTATCTACTGCTACTGCAAGTGAGCTATTGGGTACTCAAGTACCATAGGAAAAACATTTTATGTTTCCATTCACCACACGAACGAGACATGAAAACTGTTTTTAAGCAATCAATGTAGTGTAAAGTCATAGCCTACAACTTGTAGATTATTGTCTCTCATCTAAAATAAAATTTGTAATATTTCCAAACTTTGCTTCCCATGGACACGAAGCGCTAAGATGCTGCTTTAGATATTGCTAACTTCTGTAAACATACTGTCACACACGTAAACTTCACTTTTATTACAGACGTCAACATGACGAAAGTAGACAACAGAATTATCACGAAACCTCTGCTAACAAATGAACTGCTTTTCTTGTGTAACTGAAAGAAAACACAGAAAAATGCACTTGCAAGCAAACCTTTAATTTTCATCAAACAATTTCCTTGTAAACATAGAAGATGAAAAATTCAACTATGATCCCTATTACTGGAAGATAAACAGGGACTAGGTCCTCCACTCAGTTATTTTACAGATCTGTAGATGTTAAATACAATTACCACATACTCATGCTTTCCAATACACATAAAAATTACAGCTAAATGAGGAGGCAGTCTGCTTATTACTATATATAAATAACTGCTCGATCACAAGCATCCAGAGATAACTGTCCTTTAACATTGGAAACATTCCAACCACGTATTTTTCTGAGGACTTTGGGATTACACACACAATGATACCTATCCAATAAACAAAGAACATAAACACTAACAAACTGGGTTTTGAAATGCAAATTGGACAACTTATTATGATGCAAGACAAAGTGAAGTTAACGGCATCAGTTCTGCTGTAAAAAAATAAATAAATTAACCTTTATGGCACAAAGCCATTTTAAAGGCAGGCACGTGCACCACGAAACTGTACAAAAGCCCGGATGTGTCAAGTCCAGACAGTGCTGAATATTCATTATTCAATGGCATCTTTTATTTACGTACACTATTTAAGCACTGCTAGAACTATACCTCAGTTCATGTAGAAGTTTAAACCCCAAATCATCAAAATTCACCGCTCTCTGTATTTAGATAGACTACTGATCCATCGGGTACACAGTTTAAGGTAAATCTTTGATTAAATGCTAAATATTTCTCATCATCTGAATATCTAATTTAAAGCATTGCTCAGAGGAAGTGCAAGTTTATCACGATCATTTACAACAACTTTCTCATTTGGTAATTTTTCATACAAACTAGGCTTATAAATACTTCAATAAATTTTATTGTATAAATGCTTTATGATTTATCATTACAAAACACATAATTTACAGCTATCACACTAATTTTAATCCTGTTAACCGGGATCAATACAAACCTTTGGAACTATCAGTTGATCCTTCACACACCCCAAAAAACCTCAGTTAACGATCATCTAAACTTCTCAGATACACACCTCACAAAATTAACTACTGGCTTATTAAAGGCCCAAACACTGGAACAAATCCAGGGAAACTAACAACAGGTGCGCTCCATTTATGATCTTAAATTTTCTTGGGAAATCTAGGTTTAAATTGTGCTATCTTCCTGACTACAGTAAATTAAGTCACTAGTGAAAATGCGTGCTCTGTCAGATCTTATAAAAAAAATCTGAATGTAAAATAGTTTCATGTGAGGAACACCTATTGGATTATATTTGTTTCTAAATTGTGGCATCAGTTTCAAAACCATACAAGAAATTTTTCATTATACAAATAAAATTACATCTATTACGTATTCTAAAGCCACTCCAGAACTGTCAATATTATTGCCTTTAAGTTCCAGTCACAAAACCACTCCGAAGGACAGACTGTGACGCTCACCTTTAACTGTTTAATTAGCACAGATCCAATGATTTTTAGTTGAACTTTGATACGTTGTATCAGAAGATTATTTTCTGACTTGCACATTTTTTCTTCTGATTAGTTTTGACTTGCTGCCTGTGTAAAAGATGGAGGATTTCTTCCAAGATGTAAACCAAAACCAAATTCTCCCAACAAATTATGAATCCTATTTTAGCATTTTAAATTCAGATGGCTTTGTTCTACGGTTTTTGTTTGGCTACAAACACCCCTGGATCTGGGGGACCATTGACTACTTAGAAATGTCTCAGCTATCAACGGAACTATTTGACGAAGAAAGATTATTGAAGCTAAGGAAAGTAAGGCAACTGCAAATAATACGGCTATAGGTTTTTTAAACCTCTTTTTCTTACCCTTCCTCCCTTACATTTTAGTTTGGGTCAACCACCTCTTCTACTAAGAGAACAGTGCTAATTCATTCTTCATCATCTGCCTTCTTAGCAGCAGTACTAGCTCCGCTACTGCTTTCCTCAGCTGAGGATTCAGGTTTTGTCTCTGGTGAATTACTGAATCCAGACTCTTCTGGCGCAACCTCATCTTCATCATATATAATATCTTCTGGATTCGGTGGTGGTGGGCAAAATTCCTCTGTAGGAAACATTTCTTGGAAAATAGCCTCAGCCTATTAAAAAAAAGAGCATAAAATAAACTTAACCATGAAATGTAATACCTTGCAGCAATATTTTACAGATATTTAAGATTAACCTCTGTTCTTTGAAATCAATAGTGATTTAATACTTTGACAGTATTGTAAACACATGGGAAATCCATTGCTTCTTGCAGTCCTTGAAAAAGAAAAAGCAATCTATCTTTTTACATTGTTCTAAGAGGATAGTCACAGCACAGGGCTTTTTAAAAAATGCTGGTCATTCTACATTGTATTGAGAACAACAAAGATGATTTTTTGCAAGCAAAATGATCTTTTCCACTATAAAAATATCCCTAGCTGCAGTCAACTGCAATGCATGGGAAAGATCTTGCCTCTTTCCAGAGAGAAGAATCCATTTCCCATAACAAGCAAAATGAGGAAATCGTTAATATGTACAACCTACATCATATCTGTATGAGTTTCCTTCTTAAATTTAAAAATTACAAAAAATCCATTTCTGTTTTCATATGCATATATTTACATATGCATAGTTGTGTACAACACTTTCACAATTTATGCAAAAAAACATGTCTGTCATTTCAATGTATTATGTGCCTACACGTATGGGCACAAATTTTGCCTTTCTGAAAAGAACTGTATAAGCAACTTTTATTTAGCTAAAACACCAGTTACTAAGAAGATGTAGCTCAAGGATTTAATTTACAGTGCCACTTACTCTTCACGCCACCAAAGCTTGGAAATTAAGCACACACAAAAAGTCAATTTTTTGCCCACTGTAATGAAAGTTGTTAACAAAGAAACATGTTCTTCATAACATCAGGGCAGTTGTTATTATAACATACAGAATACAACAACAAAATGTAGGAGAAAGAATCAAAATAAGAAGGTATTAAAATTCTCGAGACCCAAACATTTTACAAAAACAAAGCAGGCCAAAAATCCTTTGAAAAACACAAGAATGCAGGGAGCTTTGCTCACTAATGTTAAATAGTTTCACATGTTCTGGTGCAAATAACTTATTTATAAGCGTATCTTAAAAAAAAAAAAGCTAGAGACACTCAGGAACTTTTTTTTACTGAAGCAACATGAACTTCACTTTTGCGGAAAGGTTTTCTTTTCCAACTCCTCAAGCTTCTAATGAAAACGGAGACAACTGATGCGGATCACAGTTATGTTTTGGGTTTCTAAAAAGGCAAAGGAATACTGCCTCTTGATTTTGTCTGCGCAGTAAACTGTGCCCTAAAGACGACCCGTGATGAGAGCTCCCACACAGGGAAGAATGCATTTCATCTTTATATTCGTCCTGCTACCAGACACTGCACCGCAAAAGCTGACAGTAGGGTCAGTTAATGCCAACTGCAAAGGCTGATTACATGATGTGGATTCCTGGACAAGAGGGAATTGTTTTCAGATTAATACATCATTGAGCATGTACCAAACAGCTTTCTGTGATAAACTTCACTGCCCACCAGCAGTGGATTTCTATCACCAGCACGTGGATGCAGGACTCCTTTATTAACTGCTTAAACGACCCTGTCTACCCTCAGTTCAATTTAATTTTTCATTCTGCTTCCCAAATTTCACTCTTCCATATCCATTTCAAACTGTTTAAAGCTATTTATATTAGTATATGAAAAAATATACAAAAAAAATCTATTCTCTACTTCAAAAACATGGTTTTGTAATTTGAAAGCCTTGCCTAGGAAGTCCAGAAAGTACAAATATCCTACAAAAGGTTTACAAAAAGAAAGATTTATTATTTCAAGTCCGTGCTTGTCCTTGAAACTCCAAAAATATAGTTAAACTATTATATTTAATAGAACATTGAAGAAATGTGTCGTTTTGCACTAAATATATGGTAAACCAGAGCAGACAAACATTTCTTATGCAGTTCTCAAAAATTCTTCAGTCTCCAATTAGTCAGCAAATATCCATTCCAAAAATAGTCAAATAATTACGAGGTTGAACATGGAAAGAAATTCTCGGTATGTTATGCAGGACATGATGACATTGATTATAATTGAACAATTTAATGGTATAGATTGCTTTCAGGTCTACCAATTTTTTAAGTTAACCTTATCCAGCTGAAGTCATGCAGAATAACCAATAATAATTTAACAGCTCCTTCATTATAACACTTTGATACTTATTGTAACTAATGAAGGTAGTAAATAGTTCCTTCAATATTTGCTAGTTGAGCGTACCAGCCTTCAAGCGTGTGTGTCTGAATTAAGCATTAAGACATAAGCATGTAAAGCACTTGCACAAATACTCTAATTTAGTAACTGTTTGAAGTTGAATAAAACTATTTTTTGTTACTGCTTTACTGTCTCGCAGCTACCCACCCTGCTGGCAGGGGGACAAGCCGTACGGGCTCTTACAGCAACTTTTTACAGAGAATGCTACCCAACTAACAGTAGTTTGAAATATGACACGCTTGAATAACTCCGAAATCCTTCCGGATATAGAAAAAAATGTAAACAGGTTAAAGGACAAATACTGGCCTGACAATTTTAGTGCTTCCTCTTATGAACACAAAGATGCCTCAGGAATCTGAAATACTTCAGGGAACATACTACTTCAGAACATGGTAATGCTATGGTTGTAGCAGCAAAAAAATAGGAAACGGGAAGCCAGCTGCTTTACTTGATCCATATATACAGAATTGGAAGGAATCATAAATGGCACTTTACATTCCATTTAGCCTATCCTCAGGGCAAGTAAATGCAGGCATCAGAAATAATTCAATATTATACTAGGAATTTAACACTAAATTAAAATAAAACAAGCATGAAGTGATCTGTATACTGAGCTGTAGACGGATAATCATCTGTAAAAGTTGTAGTGTCTCACCTTCTAAATAATGTATCATCAACAGAACCAAACAGCATGACATAGAGAAGTTACTACTACTAATTGTAATGAAAACATAATTCATGGCAAGTGTCATTAAAACAGTGAACACTGAACTGATTAGAGAAATTACACTCAATTTTCCAAGCTATCTCCAAGACTAATACACAGAGTAGTTTTTTGTTTGTTTTTGAAGTGTTCTGATCCATGAGTTTGTAAATATTGCATGTTTCAGTATTTCCATCCCATTGCTGGGAAGATGAAAGGGGGGCAGAAGGCACACAACTTACACGTATTTCCCTCCTCCGCTTGGGAAGGAAGGGTGTATTCTAACCATGAGTTCTGCTTTCTCTTCAGCCTATTCTTCACTTCCTTCTCACATGCGGTCCTCAGTTTTATCTTCCTTTATGACTTTTAATTATAAACACATTTACACTAAAATATTTTTCACTCTAAGTAGTGACAATTTGTTTCAAGATTTAAAAAACGTTAAAAAAAAATGCAGCTTCTACCTCCTCTTTCTGCAAGGCAGTGTTTTGGGCTCTTGATTGTTTCTCCTCCGAGTGCTGCCTGTCTAACATCTATCTCACTGCTGGTCAACAGATTTAACACAAAGGCTAACCGCAGCACCTAGAATATTTAAACACAGCTTGATCTATAATACCATTACTCATTGGTAAAAAAAAAGAGCTTTTAAAGCAAGACAAAGCTGAAAGCTAGAAAAGGCGGCTATCAGAATTAGAAATAGCCTGGGTTTTAAGTGTATTTAAACAGCTTTTAACTTGCATGGTTTTAAATAACATTTAAAAAAGATCTCATTTAGAAAAGAACTCATTTACAATTTAAAACTGCTACCATAACAATTGTCTTGCATTATTTTTTGTCTTTACAATTCTTCATCCTCTTGGGAGGCAAATTATTGCCTTGTAAAGCAAAATGAAGGGTACTATTAGCCCTTAATTATACTGTTCTGACCCTACAGTTCAGGTTATGTCAGCCTTTCCATTTTAAAATCTTATTTTAAGAGGTTTACGACTTAGTCATAAAAAGCCCTGCAACTGGCTAGAAGACGGCATGCACTTTCTCTGAACACAGCCATTAAAAAAACAGCTTTAAAAATTAGTAGTGCCAGTTAATCCTACAAAGATGGAAAAGTGTTCTCACATTAGCTCTGAAAGCACCCTGACACCACAGTGACTGCTGTGGTAGATCTGCCTAAGGATTTATACCTTCCTCATCAAGGTGGATCTCTGAACGCACAGCAAAGGAGAAGCATTCCCGTAGTAGTCTTTTGTTGAACAAGTCCTAATCTACATATTCACATGACCTTGTTGTCTTCTGCTCAGTAGTAGTGGGGAAGGCACAATGAGAGGTATGACATGAAGTTCTTCGTGATTTTCTACGTACTTATCCTTGAAGTTGTGGTGTCCCTGCATATTCTACCTACTGCCAGCACAGAAGGTGGCTATTTCACCATCTCTCTTTTGTTTCGGGAGCTTTCACTCTTCACCTCCAATTTCCAAGCACTGGCAGTTTGTCTTCAATTCCACACTGGTATGTTATGCTTACCACTAGGCAAGCTGCAAGTGGTTCTCAGTTCAGGATTCTAGTTAGCAGCAACTAGATATGTAGGCACCCAAATACCAAGAACTAAAAATCAGAACTGAATGTGATTTGGTGCCAAATACTATCTCAAGGTCATGAGTACAATAACATTCACCTCAATTCCTTCAGAGACACAACTACACCGTAATTTTGTAATACAGTGGTACCAAGACAAAGAGAAGGTAAACTGAGACAGATAGCTTAACGTATCAGATCAGTAGTTATGCTGGGTTTTTTTACCAGTGGGTTTTAGGTTCGTGACTGTCCTGCAGGTACTATGCTCCTTTGATGATCCCTCCACCTGGAACTGCAGACAGGCTTTTCTGACATTTGATTTGTGCTGCTTCTCTACCACTGCACCTCCTCTTTAACATTACAGGTGAAAGATTATGTATTTTGGGGACATGCCATCTGTATTTCCGAATTATTTGACAGTTTTTCCTTTCCACAGTATTAGAGCAAGTAACCATTATACCAAGATCATAATCTTCAGGTGCTGCTACCTTCCAGATTCCCTCTACCTGCTCAGATTAACTATCTGCTACTCCTAGCGTTCGTATACCAATGGACATTTTCACAAGTTTCCTCCGTTCTCAATCCCACTGACATTCACTTTGTTCATTAAGATTTTTCTATGTCTATCTGTGAAGCTTTATAGCTGTATTCGTACTAATTACCTAGTGTAAAGCAGAATAACCCAGAACAGAAGCAGACAGTATTGGACCTTCTTAGGTCTTTAAAATCAAAGTTCTGCAACCAAAAAAAAATGATCTGCCCAACCTGTTTGACAGCACAGTCACTGCCCAAAGCAGAGTCTGGTCCAGAACAGACATAAACATTTGAGGGTAAGCCATCATATGAACTTCTGTTGATTCCTGAAGAATCTCTCATGTTGAAGTAGACTGCCCAGAGGACTCTAGGTTTTTCCAGTTCTTCATTTTCAGTCTCTGAAAAGAAAAAAAAAGTGTTTCCAGTAATCAATGCTCACGTGTAATAAGGGAAATACATAACCTAGCATACTAAAAGTCAATTTATTAACATGGAATTACCGTAATAATTTTTTTCTTTAAAAAGTCAATTAATTTTACTTTCCTTTCTTTTCTAAGGTTATCTTTCATCGTACTTTTCCTTTACGACTGGTATGTAAACTCATCCTGTACATGCTATGCCACATAAGAACCAATTATCACCTAAAAGCATACTACCAGGAAGTCTGGTCTACATTTAACACCTTTCCACTTCACGTTAACTAGTTTACTCTGGATAAACTCCATGAGCATACGACAATTTGAACAAGCCCTCCATGGGTTGTGCCAACATGAAGTTACTGTATTCCGTAAGCAAAGGTATTTTTGCTGTATACCTTTTCCCCCTCATTTAATACTTCATCTTTGTGTGGGAACCATTCTCACAATAGACCCTTGTGTGCTTTAAAGTTGAGCGTCTTCAAGCCAATCTAAGGAGACTAAATGATGCTCATGGTTTAAATAAAAGGTATGTTAAATAAAAATCCACAAATACCACCACTCCCCCCAATTAACTGCAAATAAAGAACTACCAAAACCCAGAAGTACTCTATTTGAGATGTCCGATATGCACTATGTAGAATGTCTAAACTGTGGAATTATGGCTAAATGAAAATAAATGATTAATTTATATTTATCTACGCTTACTGAAGACTTGTACTGTGCTACAATACTCATTACGAATACAAAATGATCATACACTACGTCTTGCTTGTTCATCATCTGTACCTTCTTGCAGTTACTTTGCACATTCATATAATCCCTCTATGCACAGGTAGAAAAACCTCTGGGAAGATGAAGGTCACTTTTTAACAGTGTAGAATTCAACAGAGGAATACACAACAGAGATTCTTAGCTTAATAGATACTATTTGTTTGGCATATTTGCTGTCCCCTTTTTGGTATTTTACCTCCTCTAAAATAAATGAAGCTTGTAAAAGACCTTGTGAGATTTACTTCTTTCCAAGGAAGAAATTTCTAGGTAACAATGGCATTCAAAACAGTATTTTAAAGCAGTTGAATTAGAAAAAAAAGAGATAAATCTATGCTATTCCTTCACTATCTTTTTATAACTGTCAAATACTTAAAAAAAAAATAGGTGCTAACCATACTGAACAGTTTGAAATATAAATTAAATTCATCAGCCTGTGAAAGGCTGAGCCTTAATACAGGCCAAGATGCTCTTTAATATATTTAAAAGTTCACACTGCTCATAAAAGTTACTTCTTCCTCATTTAGGCAGGAAAATGAATGGAGTCCTCTTCTCCAGGTGACTTTGCCTCTTTGACCTGCCATGGCCCAGTGCTCACTTTATCTGGTGATTCATTTTCAATAACTCCAACAGTATTTGTTCTGACATTTTAATTAAAATACGACCACTACCTCATCCTGATGATAAAAAGGCCTATGTGTCAGTGAAAACTAGCTTTTCAGTGCCTCAGTGCACCTGAGGACCCCTGTGATCACAGGGTTTCTACAGAAGAATTTAAGTCAGGTTCTAAACAATATATCATTTCAAAACTGGATCACTTTAAACATTAAGATTAATGCTAACCCCCCTCAAATGATTAGAAGACACTGAACTGCAAGCTAATCTTTTCTTCACCAATTGAGTCTTTGAAATACATGGCATTGTCTCGAAAATTTAAGATATATGTTAAATATTAAAAGCTAGAAATTATCGGGCTTTGATTTAACAAATATCAACACAAAAAGTGTTTGCAGCTCTCCAATCTACTACAGTTTTCTGTTTACAACCCCCAGCTGTATTCTATATAATGGTTTTGTAAAGGCTCTTGTGCTACAAACCTAGTAAAAAATTTACATCTTTGAGACATCAAAATAACTGCCTTTCCCACAAGCAAAAAAGAAAGGAAATGCATATTATTTAATATTTTACTCCCTATTAAAAGCACTTTGTTGTGTAACTGAAATAGTAAGATACTTGCTTTTTCATTAAAAGGTAGAGGGAAAAAAAATGTAAAACTGCAAAAGAACACAGAAAAACAAACTTGAAGAGCTGAACTCAACCCTTCATGAAACACTGCTCTTGGTTACAGAGCCCTGAGAGGAAAAACACAGATTACCACATAAAAGACTCATTTTTTGGGGTTTTTTTGTGTTTGTTGTTTTTTTTTTAAGCCAGGAGAAAATTCTACCTGAATTCATGAGGTTAATTAATGAGGTTGAAGCACAACAGCAAATATCACAAGCAAACCAATTATAAATATTATAAAATACATCCACATCTTACTAACTTGTGTATATATGAACACAAACACTTCCACTGACAGCTCAGTACTGTTTTCTCATAGAAGAACGATGAATTACTGTCTTTAAGTATGACCACACTGTATTTTAAAATGCTTTGCCAGAGTCAGAACACAGCAACATCTCCTATGTGCACAATACCTATTCTACGAGCATCTACCAAAAATGTGATTAAATCCAAGATCTCAGGATCAAATTTCAAAGATTTCTGTGGAACTAGCTCAAAGTATCTCAGGGGCAATTTCTTTCTCAGCAACAACTTCTTTGTCAACAGCTACTTTCCTTTGGGACTGTGAAACTGTCCACCTCAAGATCAAAGTTCATGAAAGTAGCTGGCAAGGTTTCCTTGAATTCAGGGCCAAACAGTTCACTAGTGGAAATGACTGGAAATGTATCTGCCTGATAACACTGCAGTGCGTAACATGCTTCTACTGCTTAAAGCAGAATCCAGAGAATTTCAACTAAAAACCGCATCCAGGGAAGCATGTGAAGACCACAAAAGGATGAGCATCGGTGTTCGAATAAGAGAAGGCAAAAGCAAGCCAAGAAGCTTACAGCACTGAGCACATCTGGCAGCTGCAGGAGTAAAGCAGATCACTGACTTGTGAGGTTTTGAGATCTTTTGTTAGGGACACCCAAGTGACAGGAATCGTTAAAAACAGGATAGTGTAAAAACAAATAGATCACAAATATTTAATTTCACTACTGCACCTCTGAAAGACATGCTAAGGAGCAAATATGTTTCCATGAAAAAGTGTTAAAAATTAAAAAGGTCCTACACACTTATAGCCACGGTCCTCATATACTGAAGTTAAACCACAGCTGATGAAGACTTGGAACATTAGATCATGAAATACAAAAAAACCTGACATCTGTCTCATCAATCTCACTCTCAGAATAGATTCCTTTGAAATGCTGATATCTAAATAGCAGCTCACCATATGTTGACTCTGATGACAGATTCCACTGTTCAGTAACAGATACTTTAGTTACAAGGGTAAAATATATTTTTTGCAAGACAATCTCTTAATATTTCATTTATTTATTTTTACCTTCTTCTGTATTTAGATTGAATAACTTCTGTACAACAGGCTCTAAATCTTCCCTAGCAGTTTTAGTTGATGGACAGGTTAAATGGACTAAATCTGTTAAAAGAGAACACAGACTAATTACAATCACCAACACACAGATATATCAGTATCACAATTTTTAAAAGGCACAGTAGGCTTCTAGAAATCACTGCTCTTCATATAAACCATTCCCTTTAACCCACAGAAGTACTATATTATGGCAATACAGTGCATATACACCACACAGAGAAATTTTCTTTATACATGACATAATTATCTCTCTCCAGTTCAGAGAGAATATAATTCTGCGAATAGGTGTCTACCGATGCCAGGAAAAGCAGCAGCAAGAATCTGGGTAACGCCTCACATTTGCCATTAATGACCTCTAGAAGCCCCAAGAACATTCTCATCATGGTGTTGGCAGTCCCATAGTTCAACAACACACTAAACCCGCAAATAGCACGACTTCCCTCAACATCCTCCTTAAGAGCTACACTGGGACTGAGCGGGAATTTGTAAATTTGGCTACAGGCAATTTAAGTCTGGCTGTACAGGAGTTAGTAGGAAGCTATCACCACTGAAGTAAAAAGTTTGAGGAAGACTTCCAATTTTTTTTTTATTGCACTAAACACTAAATAGGAGATAAGGTGAATAGATGCATGTTTGGAGTCACAGCTCCAGTGGGATGGCAGTTAACTACTTCTCGCCAGCCACACGGAGAACGGAGAACAGTGGGAACACCGCTACGTTCTGACAAACTAGAGGGAACTGAAAGATGAGCACTGCTAATTATCAGCGAACTGTTCTGCCATCTAAGTTATGACACGTGCAATGCCTTGGCACAACGGAACATTAAAGCTCTACAACATTTTATTCCTCCACCTTCTTACAGGAAGAGAGAAACAGCAGCTCTGTGTTTGGGTAAGGGTGAAACCAGGCTGGGTGGGTCAGCGAGGAGTTACGGTAACTGGCGACACTGATTTCAAGTGCTTGATTTCAAGGGGTGCTCTGTACGTATCAGAAACAAATCACAGAGTGCAGCAAAACCATCCTGGAAAAAGGTGACATGAAAAGATTTTGAACCACAAGAACACATTTGTGGAACTGTATAATTAATCAAAATTCACCTTACAGCACAGGCAAATCAATGTAACTAAATCCAATTTTGTATTTGGGAAAATTCACAATTTTGCCTGAATAACGCAATTTGATATTTACATTTCTTGCTCATGCATTGTTTTCATGAATATGAAGTTGCTAACAGATTCTTCATGGAACATACTGCTCCTTTATGTGTTTTATTTTGCAAACTAATGAAGCTGCTGACTCCTTAGAGAAGATAATCACTCGATGCAGCTCGTGACCTCTTTTCTGTTCCACTGGCCTCTCCTCAGACACAGAGCTAGCTACTCCGCTGCTTTATACCATCTGATTTTATATCCATTCACTCAGCTATTTCAATCCTCATTTTAAAGCTTTTTATAAAACCACCTTAATGGACCCATTTGCTACTGAATGGTTCTCTGGAAACTTCTCAGCAGAGAAGTGTTTGTCAGAGAACCATGAAGAAGTTTAATATACCTTTGTACAAAGTTTAAACTGATTCATTTTCTCGTTGTTACTGTACATTTTTGATCAATTCAACAGAAATGCATGGCTATGGCATTATTTTAAATCCCTATGACATTTTTCTCTTTTTACTCTGAAGTCTGGCTGTATTTGTGTCATTATTTAGAAGTATATATCTTGAAAGCTTTCCTGGCTGCAGCTATGTCACAGAAAGTTGGACACTGACTCCCGGAGGACGGGAAATGAAACCCTTCACGCTCCTCTTCTTTCAGATTGCACACACAGAGATGATATTCAAACATTAATTTTTTTATTTAACCAAAACCAAATCCTCTGTCTAAAAGGAATATGTACTAAAAAAAGTAAATGCAAACAAGTGATGATAATGAAAATCTTTCTGTAACCGGAACTAGATGTTTACCACCCCAAACATTCTAATACAATCTATTCTTTCCTCAAAAAAACCCAGCTATAAATCGCTGAAGTTCACATCATTTACTTTCTATAGAATCTTTTTTATTATCTTTAAGGTTATGGCTATGAGTCACAGTCATCAGTATATATTTTGATTATACTTGATTTACTCAGGTATAACTGCATTAGTTACAGTGGTTGCCAACATTTGTCTTCAAGTAATTCTTCCAGCAAGAAGAACGATGAGTTTAGTTCATGATTTCATCATTACAGTCTCAATTTTTAGGGCAAGTGAAGGAGTTTGGTTCCACTCAACTGGCAATACAGATGATGTGCCTGTCATTTATGCGGTGTGATCAAAGAGTAGATGTATTTGTATACTTATCTTAAATAATTGTTTGAAGGAGAAATCAGTCAGGTTAAAACCCATTTACAGATAATGATGTAAAACTTTAAAAAAAAAAAAATCATGAAATATGTCCCATAATAGAACTCAGCTATACCTAAAATACAACTATATTATTTCAATACATGAAGACAAATTTCATTAAGGAATGTAGTATCTTCTCTTTGGAAATGAAAAGAATTTATGGAGAAAAGTAAATAACAGAAACTTTAATTTTTCAGCACCACAGAAATTCTCATGAAACTAATAATTCATAACTACTTGAACATCCATCCTTCTTCAGAACCATATAATCATTTAGGTTGGAAAAGACGTCTAAGATCATCGAGTTCAACCGTAAACCTAACACTGCCAAGTCCACCTGCTATATATATATTTTGTGAATCTGCCGTATGGATTTCACTTCCTGCTATATATCTTTTGTGACTCCTCAAATAAAGTAAATCAGCTATTCAAAGGATAAATCTTGACAATATGTTTCATAGCACGAAGTTCCTAATTACAGATTTATCTCTTTCAATTATTATTTAACCTTGAATGACTTAATCATTTAGTTCACTCTTCTTCCATTGCAAAGAACTGGGTTCAAGCCTAGGTAACAGTAAACCAGACTGGTTATTATTACAGTTTGTTATTTTTTGCCAAAAAGCGTTAGGTCAGGTAACCTCTAATCCTATTTATCTTCCACAGAGTGTCCCAAACTGGTAATCTATTTAACAGAATTCAGAAAAACAAATATTGGAAAGGAAAATAAATACCCAGTAAGAACATTTTGTTGCTCATCTATTTGAGTTCACATAAAATACCGACAACGGAGTCATAAAGCTCTGTACAGAGAAAACTGTTAATGGAAATATTGGGATGTCCTTTCAAGAAAGGTGCTCTCTCAGATACTTTCAGAATTCAAGAATCTAATGCAGTAGATAACAATAACAAAGTCCTCAAAAGAATTCTTATAACTTTACCTCAAATACATCACGATGCACGCCCTCCCTCACATCTTGTAACGGGACATAATCCCACCTCCACCAAAACTTTCAGAAGATAAAAAGCCCCCAAATATTGTGTACTTCAGGTACTTCAATTTAATAGTTCAGCTCAGGTAGTCCATTTTCAAAAAAACAAACTCATGACAAACTTCCAGTAAGATTCACGTGCTTTAGAATATTGTTTTAATCTACTAAAGGAAAAATATATCATTGTGCCAGCAAAAATGTCTGTTAAGCTACCTATTAATTGTTCAGTTTGTGCTGATTAAGAAAAAAGCAGAAACTGCAGCAGAAACAAGAACATGTGCTCGAAGATCTGCTGCTGGAAACAATACTGAAATATACTTGATGCTTGTACTGAGAACCTGTCCTTACGAAAACAAATATCTGTAGCATTTTTTACAAGGCCACAGAGTCCTAGGACATAAAAATTCTCTTAAATTCTACAGGCAGTCTGAAAGGAAAAATAAAAACACATGCATCCATGCTAACTAAGATTCCACCTTTTTGCTTACAGGTTTTTCCAGAAATGATCTGAGAAAATACTTTGGGTGGGTTTTGGCCCTTTAATTATACTGGCAAGAGAAATTCTTGGCAGAAAATTTTACACAGAAAACATTTCTAAGTTCAAAAAAAACTCAATATTTTGACTTGAAGACTGCACAATCTTAGCTAGTTACAGTGGAGAAGAAATAGTCTGCTAGAGCTCTCCACTAACCTTATCTGCCATCCTACTAAATCTTCAGTTGTCTTAACAATCTTGCAGAATAAACAAAATGTGGAATTCTAATATATTTTTTTAATCTTCAAAAAATACAGGATTCATAACAAAAAGTTCTTTGTTGGTGCTATTTTATAATTACTGTATTGCAAACAGAATATTGTCCCAGTACTAAGAAAACTACATCTATCAAGCTTATTAGCCACATAAGTGTTAAAAGGAACATTTGATGTTTGATCCGTTTGGAAACAGAGAACAATATACTTTATTACTGTGAAAATCACAGTAAGATTTTGAATAAATAATTATCACATGCAAATTTTTTTTAAACAACAGAACGCAACCAGAATCCTGCAGCACGATTCCTAAGCCCCATGGAACAGCACACAGCTGCTCCTGAACGAAGACAACGGACTATTTCTCTCACCCGCTGACAGCAGTAACCCAGGACACGCTGTTTTCTCAGGTAACAGCCTGGTCATTGTGCAACAGAGGAATGATACGCACATATTTTACATTTTTTTCAGAGTTGACAGAGTCAAAGGGAAAAATATAGTTAAGAACAGATATACCCTGTACTTACAAGTGTCCTTCATGCATGTCATGGTTGAGGAACACAATTCAATGACGCAAACTGCTGGTTTTCCTAGATCCACTGGAGGCACTGTCAAAATTGAAATCTATCAAGCAGAAAGAACAACTTACGTCAAAGCAGAGTAACATGGAGGATCAGCCAACCAACGCAATTCTGAGTAAAGGTGAAACATAACTGCAGACATTTATACAATTTTGTTTTCTGGTTTATTAGTAACAATTTGTGCGATCAATCCCGCACAAATTGAGCATCCAAGAATTTCTACCACAGTCAGAAAGGGCACCTCTGTTAGGAAGGTCTGCAGCAGAGGAACAGAAGGAAAACCTCGTACCACAGCCCTTTCGAAAAGGATGACAGTTCAGAAACTCTGTTGGCAAGAGACTGCAAAATCGTTTTTGACCACTGAGCAGAGCACTGTGAGGTGAGAATGACTGGAGTACTTTTATGCAGGACTGCTAGTAGCAAGCCTTCGGAAGAACCGACTTCTCTGTCATACGTGTTTTTATTCTGTAGACCCTATTTAACCTGTCAGAACACACGAAGCGTACAGAAGAAACACTTAACAGACTAACATCCTTTCAAATTAAGGTCTGTGAAGACTGACGAAGCAGAAACATTTAAAGAAGAATCTGAAAGTGTACATTAAGAACTTCGAACAGTAAAAGTGAATGTTAAAAAACCCCCAAAATAACGGTTAACAGTTTATTAAAGAGCAAGCAAAATGAACCATCTTCAAGACAGCAGCTTAGAAACTCTGTTAATTAACATAGTGCCAACCAAACAGGGAAACTCAAGTCATTGAGCTAAAACAAAATAAAATGAAGTTCCTGTTATAGAGACTAATGGATTAATTATTAGCAGAGCGAGCTGACTACAAAGCTGGAGTCAAGAAGAAACAAAAGCATGAATGAATTCCTCCCAACAACTAAATATTAATACATGCAGTTCATGAAGAGTGATACAAAATCGATACATACCTGCTGCTCTGAATCTGTGTTTAGTACAGACTGATCTGTAATGAGCACTGCTCTGGAGATCTGCCTACAATCAAATAAAAGAATTATGGCATTTCACAAAAACGTAAAAAATAGGAATTTGGGTTCATAGTTTTGGCAATACCAATCTAGACAACCTACTGTGGGAAGGCTGTTGAAACACACAATCTTTATTAATATGACTGTTAGTGGGATATTTTGCCTGTTACTGAAGTAGGACCACATCTGGAACATTGCTGCAGTATTTTCAATGACCAAAACAGATGATGAATAAATGAACCAGTGCCGTTACACAAAACAGCCTGCATATCCTTCTGATTTTAAAAGAACTCTTCTGTTTATTTGATCAATAATTTTTAGCAGCCCGTTACAGGATTTTTTATGACCCAAACAGCATAGGGCACGTAGGATTAAGGGGAAATACACTAGGGTGGAGTTAATTCATTGAAGTTTCTAATCCTCTATTGCCTACGATTATTTCTGCACTGCACCTACTACTTCAGTTCTGCTAATATCGTCTCTGCAATAACTTGAACACAAAGGCAGTATAAATACAATGCTTTTCTCAAGAACACCAAAAAACAGAAAACAAAGACTTTCAGTCCTGTTCTAAACCTGAACAAATTTAAAGCAAGAACTGCAACAGGTACCTCCACCTTCCAAACACTTTTTAACAAACATGAAATCCCTAATGCACTTAGAGTTATTGGATTTTTTTATAAGGAATATGATTTAGAGGACAATTTAAGAACACCTAAACATAGAAATTATACAGTATGTCCTCATATACATAGAAGAGGAGAAAAACTATGAACAGAACTAAGTCGTAGTGCAAAGATAAAGCAGGAGACAATCTCTTACGTTTAACTTGCATGGTACTTTCTAAACTATTACTTAAAGAAATTTACTGTGCTTATTGTTTTGCTACATACCTGTAACACACCTCTGTGCACACACTCTCTGAAAGGTAACTATCTTCCACAATAAAATAGTTGGCACTTATTCTTTGTCCAAAATGATCCACAATAGCTTTGCATCTGTTAAAAAAGATCAAACCAAAATATGAAATTTAGACATAAGGTAACAAAAGCACGCATAAGTTTTTGAAATTGAGTTATATAGCACATCTTTTATATCTTTCAAATAAGTTAGATACACATTCTTTAACATGTGAATCCCTAAAACAACTCAACTTCAACTGATAACTAAATCCTAGACTTCTACATTCTACAAGGTATATACAATTTTTTACATGCAATGTCATTATAGATAATGACATCAGAACATTAATAAATTGGCCACTTTATAAGGAAAACTATATATAAGCTAGTAACACTGGCATTTGATTATACATGAAAATGGCATACATTTCTTACCTCATGATACCCGAAAAAATAATACTGTGAATTATTTTGTAGGTGCTACCCTATCACAGTGTTATTTTTCCCCAGTCAGCAACCTTTACCAAAGACAACCTTATTTTGACAATAATATTCGACAAATTAAATGATAAATTAAGTTAAAGAGATGTAAGGAAAATCCCTGAGAAATGTGTGCATCAGACTGTTCCAAGACAACTTTTCTGAGCTTCTATCTTTGTGACTAAATGTAGCATTTATTTCTAAGTTAAACACAAAAGGAATAACTAAGTCACATCGCTTTAAGAGCAACACAAATGTCTTGATACATACTGTTTGCCTTTGAATATATATAAATTCTCACACACACACACAAAAAAAAGAAAAACCCAGCCCCCAGAAAAATAATTGTTCTGAATGCAAGCAGGTCAAATCAAAATGAGAATAATTAAAAGCTGAGACACTGCTACAAAAGTTTTCACGAGTCAAGTGTAACACAACAGATTAACACGCTTATAAATGGGACAGAAATGCAAACCACAAGAAAGAAGCAATTCAGAGAGCTTAAACGAGAACAGGATACAAATTTCAGATTTTAATGGGAAAAAACCTCTATGAAAGAATAAACTTCAGACACAGATATGACATCTATGAAACCACATCATATATTATATGAGACAAACAAAAAGGAGGCTGCATACAGACACTAACCAAAAACCACCCTTAGTGCCGATTCCCACATGCCACAATCTGTGTTCTATTTAATTGTGCGTATTTTCCTCAAACTGAGATGTTGGAAATGTTTTTAGAAACCTCTAAATGGTTTAATGAGCACTTAACGGATGCTTTTCCTATGTAAACTGCAAGCAAAATGCATGCACTACTAGTTCTTTCCTTATAGCTTGTTTCCATATCCTAAGGACCTTTAAGACTTCATACTGATTTTTGAAGCAAGATTTTAAGGTTTTCTACAATACCAGAACATTTACTGTGTAAATAAATAAAGCAAATTAGCTTTACTTAACTTATGCTTAGTGTATGAAAGTTACTATGTTTTTTAAAAAATTAAGTTCTTCTGAATCAGCATCTCAATGTTTTAGCTGATTTCATATACAGGACTCAAACCAGTAAGTTGTCTTACACACACCTGCACGCACACACACGTGTGCACTTGAAAACTTCAGAAGAAACAAAAGGTTGCCTAACAGATCCCTTCCAGATTCAGACGTGTTTTATCATAGCGCAACGTTACTCCCGTATCAGTAAATATCTGACATGCAAGTCATGCCCTAGGAATAAACAGCATTTCTCTAACTTCAAGTTATTCATTAGCTTCTGTCATCAAAACAATCTATAAGACTGGAGAAGACGAGAAGCAAACTTGAATAAGTAACAGCAATCAGCTGCCGCTCGTTTCAGTAAACCAATTGCCTCTAGTCTGAAATGAGAATTGAACAGGGTGCACACCATGCTTATTTACAAATATAAGAGGTTCATGACAATTAAGCATGTTTTTATAACACTAACTTCTAATGCTGGTTTCACAGGAATCTGCATACTACATACATAGCTATACTCGAATTCAACAGATAACTTGCGCACAGTAATTAAACGCAAAGCCTGATGGCACAAGCACTGGTTAACTTCAAACACGTAGCATTCTTCATACAGTTTCAATTGCAGTCTATTCAACATGTGTTTCATTTGCAACTTTAAGAAGTTTTTTCTTAAAGTTAACCTAACTGATTTAATTCTCCAGCACTCATTTGAATACTGCAAATAAACAAGGAAGTCGAGCTGCTACAGTTCATTTCTAATTATAACCTTTCTTATTGTTTATGAAACAATTTCCCCTGCCGCCCCCCTACACATTATCGAAGGGGAAAGGTTGATTAAATGTCATGTTGCATCACTCAAAGACAGCACAAGCAACCACACACTTTTTATTTTCCTGCTAAGTGCTGCTTCCTCTCCTTTGTTCAGGAATAGCTATCAGGTCATATGTTTGATAAGATTTTAAACAGAAGAAGTGAAAGCGCTTTTAATTTCAGTCTCCACTTTACTTCAAAGGATGATGCTGAGAAAATTTCTTTCAAGTCCTGCTTCCAAATATGGAAAACACTTATGCACTGACATTATCAGGTCTCTGTCATCTGATATGTGTTGGGACAATGAATCATACAGAACCCTCCATTGACCTTCTTTCAATGTGTCTAGATAAAAGGATGAAAATTAGAATCCATCTCCTTGCAGTGCCACGAGTTATAAATGTACTTTATAGGGCTCATTATCCAAACTAATGGACTAAGGGCGACATCCTTGAAATGGACTTACCAGCACTGACAAAGCCAGTATGCAATATTTCAAGAAAGATATGTAAATTACTATGTGTTTGCTATATCTTTTTATTACAGATGTATAAATTCCCATTTATCACATCATCTCCATTTTTGAGACAGAACTATGTAATCGGAAACATACACAGTGTGATCAACATAAAGTGCCTACCATTATTATTAATGCAATCTGTGTAATTTAAAATACTTTAAATTTTATCATATGTACCCAAAAAAGTGACCTACCATAAACACGGAGAAAATAAACAACAAAAAAGAAAAATAATTATCATGCATACATTCAATGTGCTTTTTCCTCAACCTAAGGAATATGATTTGGTTTTTATTTTTTAACAGAGCATCAGAGTTCTATCAAGAACACAGGATGTTCTGCATACATATTAAAACAGCAGACCTAATCTGACACAATACGCAAAAAACCAGAAATTTAAGTGGATTACCACAACCTTAAAATAGGTATGTCTAAAAGTTTCTATACTTTCTTGTTGTCTTCCCTGAATCCTATTTTCATAAGCTATAAAAAGGGCGATAGTGACACGATGAAAATAATTATACAGCTGGGGATTAAACCTACTGTTCTCTGTATATACAGTTTTGGGTAGTAAAAAAGTGAAAAAGCAATTCATCTAGATATTGAATGGGTTCTTATTTTTCTTGTGCTGGAGAGAATGTTAGCCACGTCTAGAAAGGAGCTGATATAAACTTTGGTGATATTTAGGGACTTCAGATCAAATACAAAATACCTGAGAAGAAAATCAAAGCTATACCTAGAAATATAAATTTTCCTTGCATGTACTAAAGCAAGAATAATAAAAATAGTGAAAAAATAACTGCACTAAGATCTTGATGAAGTCTGGGAGCCTATGGGAAGATGCTTATAAAATAGTAAGGAATAGTGCACAATTAGACTGAATTTCTACCGCTGTGAGTTAAACCTATTTAGAGCCAAGGCAAGCTGCCTCTGAAACTACAGAGACAGCTGTAGGGACGACGAGATATGAATTTGTCTATTACTAATTACTATTAATGGCCTGTTGACTCAAGAGCTCAGTGACTCATAAATACCCTCATTAACAATTTGATAGCTGATTTTTATTACACAAAACACTGAAGCCCAAAGTCAAGAGGAAATCAGAGCTAGTGCAGGGAGGGAATACGCAGTAAGGAAGGAGGTAACATGAAGAAAGACAAAGAAGGGAAAGGAAATAGTGATGATCTTCGCAACAGACTGGATAGCTTGCCAAGTACCACTCTAAGGAAAGGACTTAGCAAGTAAAAGCAGTATTGCATTCAGGAGAGAGAAAAGAAAATCAAGGGAAAATAGTATAACCAAGTAAAAACATATACCTGGGTCAAAGCAATCAGCTTTTTGAGTGACATTTTTGCTATGGTGAAGAGGATGTTTGAGACTTATAAAATTTATTAGGAAAAAAAAAAAGAGAATGTTATATGATCCTTCTTTCACTGCTGAAAATACTTCTTAAAAAAACCACATTTTGACCAAGGCCGCTTTAATTTCATCATCTCAAACAAATCTGACACTTCCCTTCTCTTCTATACATACTTTTATTTTGATTTAGAAACACTGCTTGGTAGAATACCTGCTTTGAAACTACAGGCGACCTAAAAAGAGCCAACAGGAGCAGGCCGGTGGCTCGAAGGAAAAGGCAGGAGACCAGACCTGGGAGCTGGATGTGTTGCGCCTCTGCATATTCAGCTTCAGATAATGGCATTGTTACAAGACCAGCATTTTCGCAATAATGAAACTCAGGTAAAGTCTTGCAAAAATATTACAGTAATCCTGCACCTCAAAAATCCATTCCTCAGTTTTAAGTGAACATGGCATAAGTGAACCACTCAAGCAGCCCAACAGCCTAAAAAAGACACCTGAAACCTAACTGGAAGCCTGTGGAACTTACTAGATCCAGAAAATAAAGGCACATTAAGGGAAAAGCAGCACTCCGTCTATTTTAGAACACCCATAACCTTAACAAAAACCCCATTTATTTCAAAGGTCTTCAGAATGTGCAAAAGAAGCTGTAAACTGGGGCAACCAGCACTGCTGACCAGTTGAGATCTCCACAGAGAGGTGTTTGGAAGTTGGTAACAACTAGGAGCTCTGTCTCTGTAGAAGAGCAAGTTAACTATTTAAACATTATTGGAAAATAAAGCTCCCTATCATAAAAGTTCAAATATTACTGTTAAAAAAAGTACAGAGATTATGAAAGGGCCATAATTTCATCTGTGTATGAATCATGCACTTAGGACAAGACGACACATGATGAAATACTATCACATTTGCATCTCAAAGTCTAAAACTAGGCAATGAACTTCAGAACCTTCAGGAACTGGCAGAAAGACAGAATCTGTTGTTTATAGAATTTCAGGAAAAACTGATTGACCGCGTCATGACAAATGTAGTTAGAGTACCATGCTCAAAGAATCAAAACGCGCAGTGCAACTGGAAAGTAAACACACTACATGGATCATTTTACTACTAATTTTCCTAATGAAATGTTACTACATATTTTCTAGCTTAATTTTCAAAATTTTCTACAGAATGTTTTGAACTTTTCAATTATAGAAACTAAGCTGAAAACACTGTTAAGAGAGCCAGAGTCTGCTGTTAGACCAATAATGGATAGAAGGTATATAACAGAAATCATGACAATTTACAGAGGTGTGAAAAATGCTGCTATGGAAAAAACTGTGGGTTGATTTTTCTTAGCTCAACTTTAAACCCACCTACAGGCCTGATGTTGTTGTAAAAGAATTTATCCTAGGATAAGAGGGCAGCATAGTTTATGACAACAATCTACCTAAAAACTCATTAAAGTCTTTTCTCTTGGAGTGACATGCATTATCAGCAAAGATTAATCCGATGAGTCTTTAGGTGAGCTCCATTTTTAAAAATGCAATAACAGAGGGCTTTGTTGTCATCTGATGAAAATCAATTAGAGTGGGTAAGGCCACAAGGAAAACTAACATCACTCATCACCAGCCCTCCGGCAGCTGAAATGATTTGTCTTCCAAGCTTGGGTGATCAGGAGCTGTAGTAATATCACAGGGAAATTAATTTAGTTTCTATATTCTAGACCCACTTCCCTTGTTCTGGAGGACCTATACACAAATTACTTTTAATCAAGGTTGATGTGTTATTAATACCAAGGAGGATCTTTGAAGAATCATTTTTTTTTAAATTGACTTAACACATTTTTCATCTGTATTTTGTACAAAAACAGAAGGTTACTTATATTACCCTTACCGTCCAGATTCTTTGTCCACTACAAGGCACCGCACAGAATGGCGAAGACAATAGATACCACCAAACACGGCACACATCCTAGAAACATATGAGGAAAAAATAAAGGTTACTTCTATCACAGCTATTTGTAATCAGTGTGTGTGTCATAAGCAAGGCAAAGTACTGTTCATGTTGTAGTACATTTTTAATGACGTGTCTTAATCTTCAAATTGGACAATCAAAAACCAATCAAAATAAAGCCAGTCATATAGTTTTGGTAAAGGATATGTTGTTGACTCTTCTTTGTATTAGCATTTATCTTATTGTTACATTAGCTTGAGCGCTCATTCCCTGTTACCAACATCAGTCACTCCAGATGGAAAAGCATCTGTTTCCTGAAGATGCGCAGCTTGTCCACTGACCACACTACGCTGCACATCATAAGGAACGAGAATGGAAGAACACACGATAACCTTACCAAACTCCCACTAGAAATCTCGGCGTGATTCAGAAGTTATTTCTCTGCTCTTACAAAATGTACTGTGGGAACTTCACTGGCTACAAGCAGCTTAAATTCTGAGGGCACTGAGAAGTGCGCCAACAGAATGAAGACTTCTCACCATCTAACAGCGACCTCTTACAAACAGTGATTCCTCCAGGTTCTGCCTATGTCATGATACAGTCACTTATGATATTCTGTGCATGGACAGATGAAAATTTCCTGAATGAAAAAGGAACTGGCTTCCCAGATCAGTTTTTCAAAATCTAAAGTACACCAAGCTATTGAGCATTTTCCATTTGCAAACAAAGCCCATTACCTAAACCCAAGAAAATGACACTCCCCAAACATTAAGACAATATTGCAACTCATCTGTTTTCAAACTCTAAGGAGACGCACCGTTTAAAGATATCAGATGGTGACATTTAACTATGAGGAAGTTACTTTGATACAAGTTTATAGCAACTTTTACATAAAACAGTTGTTAGTGAGAGATTCTGTAATAATCTGGTCATGCAGGGCTCAACACGTCCCGCTCAGTCCTGGACAGACAGCGAACAGGTCCATCTGAGAATAAGACACTGCCACACCACTTGCAACCTGGCTTACTGTAGGCAGCCACTTGCTGCTACGCCTTACACACATTCCTGCCCAGTAAAACACCACGCCTGCTCAGAGATACTCGCCTTCCACTCGCCCAGGCATTCCACTGCTCACTACTTGTAATGACGCATTCCAGAGACTTCCCTGCTAAACCATACTCAGACTGCCCACGTTTTAAAATGCTCAGCAAACCACTTTCTCCTCTCCGCTTTGGGATTCCAGAGAGGAGCTTGTCCGATCGCTCCCACCGCCTGACTCCCGGGCCCCCATCGGAGGTCAGCCCACCGCAAGATCTCATCACGGGCCAACATCCTCCTTGCGGAGATCTCGGACTACAGCTCTCCTCCAGATGAATCCGTCCCTATGCACCAAGCCTGAAACTGCTCTCCCATAATAAACACGATCGCAGGTGAACCCCCACATCCCAACTTCCCCCGTCCGCCGAAAGGCAGGCTTAATCTCTGGGCGTTACCTTTCTGTTGATTTGACGTGACATAAGGTAAAATAATTCACAAATAATTGAAGTTTAGTTTCTGCATACAATGGCTAGAATTTTTACTAGACCCACATTAACATTGAAATGACTGCGATATCGCTATTTTTAGTATTTTTTTAATCGTGGCTCCTGAAAGATTTTAATATAAGCCCACATTCTTCAAAATGCTACCAAGCAAGTATAAACAACCAACACTCTCTCTGCTGTGTTTTTAAAATACTTTAAACTTTCTGTGAGAGCACTATAATGCAGAGAAAATCATGATCTCACAGAAATAGGATCTATGTTAGAGATTCTCAAGGATAAAGCTTCATCATTAACTGTGAATTAAGATAAGCTTCAGCCAGTTTTTTATTTACAGTGCATTATCTCAGGGGCATTCTTACTATAAGAATAACACAAAATGCAGAGGATCAAGTTCTCTAGATCTTGGTGTGACAAGAATTAAACAAGTAAGAACATTTTAAACAGTATTTTTCAAATTATGTTAAAAAAGAAATCATCTTTCTAAAATTTTCAGTCAGCATTGAAATTACTCAGTGCAAAATGGTAAAGAAAAAAGATGGAGGAGATGTGTCTGATCCCTTACAGTTTCAGGTTTGGACTGTATGCAATGTGTGATCTGTATTTGGAATCTTTAATTTTTTTTATTTTTTCTTATCGACTCATTTAAGAATCTCCAGGGGTTCACTCAGATCAATGAGCTGTCACTGACCTCTTCTCGTGTATGCTGAGAAGAAAGAATGAACAAACAATTTGCATCCTGACATAAACTGCATATCCTTTTCTTGGAGAACTGCTCCATCAGAGATGACTGTCAAATACCATCGTGACATTTGACAATTCTTCCTTTGTCCTACAAGTTAAATACACCTGTGGTCTTCTTGTGATCCCTATTACTCAAAAGTAAATAGCCTCTTATGAGTAAATCTTAAAGCAGGCTGTAGCACATTCAGTACAGGGACAGGCTGTTCCATTGAACCATGCCGGATAAGGGAAGCGTGAGTTTTCTGAGTTCCCGTTACTCAGCTGAGCTTTGGAGCGACCCAGCCACTCGATGCTCAGCTCGCAGGTGGAAGGAGAGAGCTGAAACTGGGAGGGCATAGTGAGAAATTACACCTGCCATTTCATTAACAGAGTCTGCCTAGGAATTGTATTTAAGAGTGTGTCATTCTATTGCTCTTTTGGCAGAGTTTATGCTGTGATTCAACAGATCAGTGTGACTACATTTCTAACTCCCGCCTAGCATTAGCCAGGCATCAGACGAGCCACAGCAAACATCAACATGAGAAAGCCAGGCTGGTTTGGGGCAACATAGTTCTCCCAGATTTCTGGGATGATACCAGGATTTTCCTGGTTTACTAACAGGTTTTGGAGGGTTTTATTTATTCATTTGTTTATTTAATTTTGAAGCTTTAGGTGTCTGTTCAGATGATGAACACGAAAAGCAAACTTCCATTTTGCAAACCTGACTTCCCAAAATGGAATCCAAATTGGCATTCCAAAGTCGTATTAGACAGTTCAGAGACAGTTGGTACTGCAACACTTTTTGAACTGCAGGAATGATGCAGCAGGGCAAACGGCAGAAGTGTGCTACCAACTCACATCTCTTCAGAGTTCCACTCCAAAAGGCAGCAGTCTAAGGCAATGTCAGCAATATCACTGACTACCGGCCCAATCTGAATATCCAGTTCCCTAGAAATACCTCTTCCACCCACGCACAAGCAGGGAGAACACGCACCATGTTGAATCCCAACCCTGGATGTCTGGAGATTGTTGAAGATGACACAAAGGTTAAACATCCACTGAAGAATTATTATAGAGCCTTGAGCTACGGGCTTATTATCTCTAACGTGGCAATCAATGGCTTCTTGCCTGACAAGGCATGTATTAGGATCTTTCAAACCAACTCAGATGAATTTTGTGTGTTGTATAAAAGAATAGCACTATTAACCTAACTAGAACTAAGATTCCTTTGTTAAAAACTACAAATTATATTTTTCCTTTGACTTCAACCACAGTCAAGGGCTTTTTGATATATGCACTTTATTTTTCTAGCGTGCTTTGAAAGAACTTTGCTGCTTGGCTGCGCAAAAATGTGAATTACTTATTTTCAAGAGTAGCCTGCTATCCAGTGGAGGAGGGCATGACCTGTTTTCACAGTAGGCCAGCGGAAAACTTCTCTTTTTAAATGAAAATTGAAAGGAATTTTGATTGTGTTGTGTTAAACAATTCCAAAGAGCCAAAATACCTATTAAAACAGCCTAGCATGAAAAATGACATGATTAGGAAGAACTTGCCAAAATTATTTAAATACATAAATTGAAATATTAAACTAAATGGCATCCCAATAATTTATGACAAAGTAAAATCATTGTGCTAACATTACTTTCATACAATAGGCTATTCAAGATGATTTGACTGTACTTCAAGTACAAGGCAACTCTTTGATACCATTAACCCTAAATGACAGACATTTAAACTGATATTACTCTAATTAACTGGCGACTGCCTACGCCAATAATTCAAGTTTTGCTGAAAGATAGCAACAACACTGTACTCAACTTCAACTTTGCCCTGGTGACATCAAATCATATTACAGCTAAATTAACAGTTGTGAAAATTTTTGGCCTGGAAGCCCTCCATCATGCACAGCCTTTAAATGCCATTTCAGTTCCCATCAAGGCAGGAATCACCCGTTGTGATTTTTAATACAGCTGTGAAACAATAAGACATATTAAAAGCTGAATTTTTGACAGCATTTTCGCAATGATTTATGAGTTTGTATATAATCTGATTATTCTATTAATTTTACTGATTACCGATTCAGCTAATACAGTGAAGGTCACTTACAAAATAAATCTTCATTACATTTCACAGAAAGTAACTGCCTCCAACTAGTTGTTTTCTTTAATTAAACACTAATGTAACAAGAGAGAAAATAGGCTTCAGGGTTGCTGCATCTGTTGCTGCAAGAGGAGTTTACTGCTTTGATGTAATGCTCTCTGATATTAATTGAACAAAAATAGAATGTCTCTCCATCTGACATCTTGATTTTCAACACAGAGATGCCATGAACACCCTTAAATTACAGGCTTACCCGTAGTTCATTCTGAAACTACATGAAAGAATTTGAAAACCCTACCGCACAGTTTCACAACAAAAAAAGTAGTTTTTATTTCTAGCACAAAGTTTGTCTTCTACTTTCTAAAACGCATGGAGTGATGAATTTTAAAACTGAGTATTCTTCTTCCCAACCGTACAGTCCTCTATGGCAAAAACTATTTCCTTCCCTCCTTGAAGATGAATACTGCACGTACAGCACAGCAAGCTTTGGAGACAGATCAAAGAAAAACGTGCCAAGTGCTCAATGAATAAATTGTCCTCTTTCAATTTATTTTAACACACAAAACAAGCTGTGACCTCATCGTTATGTTAAATTATATGTTCCCTGAAAGGTCCCTAGAACTTCAGCATTTCCTACAATATTGTCGTATGTTC